TAATTCTGGCATTCAAATACATAAAGTACCATGGATATTCCGAATTGGAGATAAAGTTCGGAATTTAGTTTTTTGGTCGCGCTTGCACCATTTTTTGAAATAAAAGCTGGTGCCGAGTCCTGCTGGAAGGTCCAGTCGACTCCATTGAATACAATCTCATTTAGGGGATGTGCCACGGGCTCAAAAACATATTTTAAGAAGTTTGATTTCATCACCCGAGCTGCCAAATCCTAGTACCGAAAAACTAACGAAATTGAACACCATAATGTAACGATTCGGCGCCGAAATTTATCAATGGTACCGATCAGGTACCGATCTGGTTGGGTATCAACGTTCACTAACGAGGACCGATTATACACCTACATTTCGGTGCCAAATCCGCACGGAATATTCAGTACCAATGAGTAGGCAATGAAATAGCGTTGATTTGGTGCTAACTGCGAAATTTCGGTACCTTTTTATTAACGAAGTAGCGTTGCATTTCGGTACCTTTTCGTCGGTGCCTAATCGTTACATACTGTGTAGCTCGGGCACCTTCCCCCCATTTTCTCCGAAATGTAGAGGAATTACCCCAATTAGCTCCCACCTACCAAAACCATCATAAAACCAGGATGATATGCCTTTTTGACCTGTTGTCTATATTGGGAGATGTCTTTGCCCGATTTTGCGTAGATTAGGTCAGCTCGTTTGTTAAAAGATTTTTCCGATGTCAAAATCTCGTCATCTTTTAAAAAAGTCATCTCTACTTTTTTGGTGCGTACCGCTTGAGGAGAGCTCTTCATTTCTTTAATCTAGCTTTCCTGTGGGGGATCGTTAGGAGTTGCCAAGTACTTCGTTTCAAAGCCCTAAGTCTAAGGTTCATTTCTAGCACTCGTTAGACAATTTGCATCAACAATGTCAGCTGTTAGGATATTTTCCGTTGAAATTTCGTGAATCTCTTCGGATTCTAACCTTCAGCGGCTCCACGATGGGTGTGGTCCTTGGAGGTTTTGAAAAAATTCTTCTTCGACTGTGCTTAGGAGGACAACCCTTCACCGACAGAATCACCGATTTCGATGCCCTTTGGATATGTTGTAGTCCTAGGTGAGTCTAGCAAAAGTGAAGAAGGATTATCTGTACATTTTGGTCATTTGACCTTTTATCTCGAGGGTGTCAAGACCAATTAGGTCATCCACACTCTTATCCGTGTCCAACCAGACACCAAAATTAGCAGCAGTAACAAAATCTGCATACAAAATTTTTTTAGGAGAAATCACCTTACCGAGAGCCTCCAAAAGCTCACTGAGTGTGACTCCCTTAATTCTTCGGATAAGCACACCTTTCGACTTATCCAACGCGGAGGATGTGGGGTCAGGTGGCATGACCGCCATGGTCGCAGCTTTGCTGTAGGAAGGAGCAGGGGATCCTTCCAAGGGATCTTCCTGCCCCAACATTGTGGTGGTGGTGGCTGAGATGACGTCACACCATAAATTACACTGCTAAAAAATCCACACAAAAAACTGCACTAAAACTGCACACTTTATGCAAATTTGGAGAAACTTTGACTTCCTTGGGTTGAAGTTGACCCTAGCCAATATTTGACCACTAGCCAAAACTTCTTAGCTACTCAGAAAAGATAAATTTTTAGAAAACTAAAAAAAAACCATCAGAGAAAGAAATTAGAAAGTCTACTCGGTTCTCCGTTCGCGCTCCTATATTTTTTTTTTTAATTTTAAGAGCAGATTTATTTCATAAAATTGGAAAATATTGTACAATATTTAATTCATTCATGGTCGAAAAATGGATAATACATAAAAATTTATGCAGTAAATTTTCTTGATAAGCACGTGGACTAGAATTAGATAATTTTGGTTATCGATTCAATTTCATGGACTAGAAAGACAAAAAGCGTGTCGTATGTATATAGAAAAGAATTTGATGTCTGATGTGATTCGGTTTACAGGATCTAAAATAAACTAAACTTAATTAATTATAATTAATTAATTGATAATTAAACATTATTGGAATTACGAGTTCTAGTTCAGTTTACAGTCAAACCAACTAAACACTTAATTAATTGACTGATAATTAAATACGATTGGAATTTTGATCATCGTGTTCTAGACTTATGGTTCAGTTTACAGTAGAACAAATTAAACTTAATTGATTAATTATAACTAATTAATTACCTGATAATTACATTAAATATGACTGAAATTATTAATGATCATCATGCAGAGATTAATGTTGATAACCGATTCAGAGACTAGGCATTGCATTTTTTAATGGACTAGAGAGGCAAAAAGCGTGTCGTACAAAAGACTAAAGAATGTGAGGTCAGATCTGTTTCAGTTTAACTAAAATTAATTATGATCAATTAATTACTTGGAAATTATTTATATGATTGGAATTATATGATTATCATCATGGAATGAGTGGAGATTCCTGTTGTAGTAATTAATTATTCATCATCTAATAGATTACGACAGACGAGAAGGTCTTCATCAGTTCCATACTCGATGTCAGCACCACCCGCATTGTTTTAAAAGACAAGTGCAATGGGTTTTACTTTTTTATGGGGGTTTTACTTGGGTTTTGCTAGGTTTTATCCAAAATTCAATTAGATATATCAATAGAATCAATTTTCAGGTACTTATTTAACTCGAATTAAGTACTCTTTTTAATATAGCGTAAACATCAATATTTTCTCGAATCCTTCTTTATAATCTAAAAATCACAATTTACAGATTAACTGGGATTTTGATCATATTCGATTTTTTCACGTGTTCCTGCTATGTATCATTGTAGTTTTATGATAAATCTTGATAAAATACATTAATCTAACAAATTAGTGTAGCATTGTATATTAAACATTGAGCAAAACCCAGGCCCAGTAAAATCTCACAACCCAGTGAAACCCAGGGGTAGTTGTTTCAAGGTAAAACCCCAGGTTTTTCCGAACCCTGCCAACTGGATATCAATAATTTAGAGATTATGTGTAGGTGTTTCATTGAAGCGTTTATATTTTAAATAATTTTTTTTGAATGCGCCTCCCTACTCAGTCCATAATGCATAAATGTTGATAATCTGCCCTTTAACGTAAAGATCTTCTAAGGCAGTCAGAATAGGTTCGCTATAAAACTAGAACCAGTCGGAAGTTACATATGTCTGCGTGTATCCGTTTTGCCATCATTCGCTATCTTGAACTGGAATACTTATGTCTAGTTGCTACTTATCTATTTAATGCTACGATATCTTAGCTAACATTCAAGTTCAATTTTCTGAAGAAAAGGTAGGTATTTGAAAATTGTTCAAGTATTGTGAATACTGATCTTGAGAAAAGTGAATTTGAATTAGATAAAAAATCGTAGCATTAAATAACTATTAAATTAATTTTTTCAAACTTATGCACATATTTCAGCAATAATAACAGTTAAGACAGAGCAAGGATAAGGTAAATGGGACAGGAAAATAAATGTCAATGATAGTATGATTCGATTGGGTGACTTTAGTATTTGACTGGGTGAAAAAATTGTGCAGGAAATGAAGATAAAATGGAAACAAAACGATACTTAGGCCACTTTGTTTTGTAAACATTTCTTCCAATTTAGGTACTTTTCATCACCTCATTTTGCAAGTCGATTCTTGCATTTCGATTTGTAAAGTTGAAGTGCAAGATAACTTGCAAGATTACTTGCAAGATGACCTGCCATTGCATTTCAAGTCATCTTGCACTCGATCTTGCACTCGAAGTCGATTTGTAAAGGTGGGTTAGGTTAGGTTAGGTTTGGTTAACCCAAACCTTTACAAATCCTAATCGACTTGAAGTGCAATGGCAAGTCATCTTGCAATTCACTTGACCATTACTGTGTAGTTCTACATTTGTCATAATTTAATCAGTTTTCATGTCAACCGTTTTTAGAAGTGGCCAGTTTTCCTGTTAACCATTTTTCGTGTCAACTGATTTGATCTGTTGGGCTTTAGTTGATACTATTTTTGCCTTGGACGCAGTAAAAGCTGATCGCTGTTTTGTGTAAGTTCTACATTTGTCATATTGTGACCACTTTTCATGTTAACCATTTTTAATATTAACCACTTTTCATTGTAACCATTTTTAGTATTAACCATTTATCATTTTAACCATTTTTCGTTTCAAATGATGTGATGTATTTGGCTTTAGTTGATTCTATTCTTGCCTGAGACGCAGTTAAAGCTGATCGCTATTTTGTGTAAGTTCTACATTTGTCATATTGTAACCACTTTTCATGTTAACCATTTTTTATATTAACCACTTTTCATTGTAACCATTTTAAGTATTAACCATTTTTCGTGTCAACTAATGTGATGTATTTGGCTTTAGTTGATCCTATTCTTGCCTGAGACGCCCTTGAAGCTGATCGCTGTTTTTTGTGAGTTCTACATTTGTCATATTTTAACCACTTTTGATTTTAACCATTTTTAATATTAACAACTTTTCATGTTAACCATTTATCATATTGACCATGTTTAACATTAGCCGTAACCATAACATATTATGGTCGAGGAATTATAATTAAAGACATTTTTACATAAGAAATGCCTGTGAAAACATCTTTAAGTTTCATGACTCGACCATAGCATTACTTTTTATTACCAACGTTAGTTGGTATTGTTAACCATAAATGTCTACTTTTTACTTGGTTTTAAAGATTTATCTCGATTTGGCCTATCGCAATCAGCTATAGAAATAATCGGTTAAGGTACGCACTAAAATTTAATTTTAATTCAATTTTGCCTTCAAACGCCATTGGTTTTAGCATTATGTGTTTATTTTGGTCAAAAGTTTAAATATCTCAAACAATATGTCGGAAGTTGAACAGGATGAGGCAATGGCAGACATGGTCAATCCGAAGCCGTCAGCTGAGGTTTGCTTGATTTATTAGCAAGGTTGGTTGGGTTGGTTATTACATGGTGCATTTAACTCAGGCTCCCACTTTGAACACCATTATTGCCGAGCTCTACTCGTGTCTTAAATATTCGAAATGAAGACAAATCCAGAGAAAGGAAAGGATGAAAGTTTTAACATGGAGGGAGTGGAATTGTTTGTGCTGGCGGTCGTGCAAACGTTTGGCAGTTCCCATGTAAATACCTGGGGAATAATTGCAAACGAACCGACGGATGCTGCCTCTTCAGATGGGACATCTGGCCCCAAGTTCAGTAGCATATATACGAAAATGAAAAAGATTAAGGAAAATGCCCGTGATGATAATCCACTCATGGCTGCGACATATCCCAGTTGTTCGTGGTTTAACAAGGCGGGCATAAGGAACTGGTTGATTAAAGGGAAAAATCTCGGGGATAACAATAAGGGCAAGGAATTCAAGAATGCCGCTAGACATTTTCAAGAAGTAATGTGTGGATTCATCTTACAATTATATTGTAAGCACAGAAAGGTATTAACAATGGAGGTCTCCCAACGTATGCTCACCGATATGGATCAAATTAGTGTCAATCGATCACAACTCAAATTAGGATGAAATTTGCAAATGCAACTATCTGACAATGCGCAGGTTTGGCGGAGATATTTACTTGCAAAGCGGGAAAAATGCGCAGTAAATTTAGAAAATGTAAAATTTCCTTGCCTATGGGCGCGTTTACCCCTCTATTAAATGCAAATATCTTTGCCAAACTTGCGCATTGGCAGATAGTTGCATAGTTGCATACGTTGGGAGACCTCCATTGTAAGTATATTGCACGATTGTTTTTATAATGAATGATGATTTGTTTCAGTTGCTAAGGTCGGGCCAACCAAGCCTGAAACGATTAGAGCCCACCTCGGCGAAGTCATTTATCTCAAAGGGTGCGAGGTAGGGAAGTCTGGATTCTACCCTTACTTACGGTACAGAATTATGCTGCCATCAGCAATGTTGGAGGATTTCCCCTTTGCTGTGCTGGTTACTGACATCAACCAGAAACAAAGATGTAAGAATAGTTGAAAATTATAAACTCTGTACACTTATAAATGGGAATTCTGTTGGCGACGAAGGGTTCAAGAAAAAAGATACTTATTCATGTATACCCTGCTATTGTAAATAATTTTAACTTTCCTTAACGTTACCATCAGAATTTTAAGTGCAAGACGGCTTACTTGCCACAAGTATGTTATAATTTGTTTTTAATTGTAACTTGCTTGCTGAATACTTTCTTAGTGAGAATCGAAGGCTATGAAAAAGAGGACGGAGATGAAATCATAAGAGCGGATAGAAGTGTATTGCATCTGCTGCCGGATGCCCACGTAGGGGATTCTTTGGAGGATCAGTTAGATCTTTTAAATGCATGTATAGAAATGCGGAAGTCCGATCTGAGGTTGGCGCAAGTTGAGGTGGTGGATATTGTAAAACAGCTGGAAGAATTCTCAGCAGAAAAAGCCAAGTTGATGAAACTAATTATGGCTCGAGATGTCAACCACCACATTGTTCAAGAGATGAGAAAGGTATTACCTTCGACAGTTGGGGATAGTGACGAAATGGTCGAGCGTATTATGGCTGGAACGTTAGCGATTGTCGAAGCACTATCACAGCAAATTCCATCCGGCACTAATACGAGCGAAACGGAAGAAAAAATGCTGGATAGTCTTACAAAAATTAAAGAAGGTAAGCATAGATTTTTTTGGGAATGACTTTCGAGTTTTATCAGTTAATGACTCAGTATTTTTTACAATAACTCGAAAATCGTTGGAAGCCGAAAAAACACTATTCGATTGTATATATCTATCTTAACTAAATCAAAAATTCTGTACAATATTTCTGTACAGTATATCCCAGAAAGGAACAGGTCAGGATGATCTTCAGCTCGACATACAAGGAGCAAAAGTGGACGAAACAAATCGTGACAAAAAGACCGGTAAAAATGTCGAAAAGGATGGTAAAAATGTCGAAAAGGACGGTGAAGAGGACGAAAAGGACGAGGAAGATGTCGAATATTCCAGTGAAGATGACGAAGCCGGTGTGGAGAATATCAGAGAGCATGGTGGTTCAAACGAAGAGAGTGACGATGATCCTTGTCCCGCGAAAAAGACTAAAGTAACTCTGGAGGACTTCATTAGTTGAATTGATTGTTATGTTCATATTATTATTTTGTTAGAACATGGCACATCTGTGTATCACCCGTGTGATATATTTTATATACTTTTTTCCAGCATTTGATTGGTTTCATTGGAAACCATTAGGTTGCTAATATTTTGAACAAAAAAAATAATTGACTTAACCCCAGTTACTAACCTAATTCAAATTAAACTTTCCACTTGTGTGTTGGTAGTATTTAATTGCAATGTATTGATTAAGCTATGTTAAGTAGAGTTATGAATTTATTAGATGTTACTAGTAGATCTGCACCGGTGTGATACCAATCCAATACAATTTTATCGATTGTAACTAGCACTATTGTTCCATTTGATGTTTATCGCTTAATCAAAATAGAATCGAATTTACTTTCGGTTTCTTAATTCAATCAATTCACTACTGTGTTCGTCATATATAATTCCAATAAATTTAATTAGTTGATCTATGACATACTACTTGGAATTTGTCGTATAAAATAACGCAGCACTTGACAATAGAATTTATATTTCAACTATTTCAAAGTCTGCTTTTGTTCTCTAATTTTCTTAGTATAGTTAGAACATTTTGTTGCAACTCATCTTGCTCAACAACTTAAAGATGCATCATTAAATTGTTAAGTAGATTTTTGTAGGTTTAAGTAGATTTTTGGGGCAAAGTGAGACAAATCTCAATCTTGCGCTTCAACTTTACAAATCGAAATGCAAGAATCGACTTGCAAGATGACTTCATTAAACTTATTCACAGAGAGCATGTCAAATATTGCATTTTATTATTTTGCTTGAGTGCATTTTTGCAGTTTGGTGGGATGATCGTATTTTTTTTGTCTCGTACAACTCTACACCCCATTGTGCATGGGAAGTTACGTAAAGAGGATCATAACTATGTGGTGGGGGGTCCCTAAGGTGCAGCCTCGAGTCCGCACTCCCCCATCCACGCACTGTGAGGGGGCCCCGACCCCACACGATTGCGACACAGACCGGAAAAACCCATTCGGGAAAACCGCTGCCACCAGGACGAACCCTGGCCCATTTGGTTCGCAACCATGCTCTCTGGCCATTAGGCTATCGACTCACAGTCAATGTACATATACAATATACAGTATTTAATATACATGTGCACGTACGTTTTAAGTTTAGTAATAAGTTTAATACCTTTAATTAACGCTCAATTTACTTGATTTAACATAATTTACATTTGTTTGATTTTCGATTGTGCATACGTCTAGCTAAGATATTGATGTTTTGGTTAAGGTTAAAGGATCAAATTAATTTACCTTAAATTATTTACATTTCCCTAATTTTAAAACGTATGTACATATGCACGTGCATACATCCACGATATTGGTACATATTTTTGCATTAACTCAATTAATTATTTTAAAAGTGTGTTCACTTTTCATAATTTGTTTCTTTAATTATTAAAAAATTATATCAGATTATTCAATATATTTTTTTAAGTAATGCAAATTTTAATTAAAGTTAGATTAACGTGATTTACCTAAATCACTCCCTAATTACCTAACTCTAGTTGAAAGCTTATTTAATTTTTTTACCCTTCAAACTGTTTTATGATTTTTTTTACTTTTTGGAAATTAAATAATTTTACTTAACGCAAGGTGGTTCAAAGTAATTTGCATTTCTTAAATTTTCCAACGATACATATACATATTTAACCAAGATATATTTATTTATTAACTTAACAAAATCTAGTTAAAATCTTATTATATTTTATTTTTATGCGTTTAAACTTTTTATGATTTTATTTGATGTATTGTGTTTTTTTTACCTTTTTGAAATTTAAATAACTATTTTAATTTAAGCTGGATTTAACGTAATTTACATCTACTTAATTTTTGAATATTCATATTACTAAACTATCCAATAACATTATATTTACAGGGAAAGAAATACATTTATTGTACTTGGAAGAGTTCTAGTTTGATGAGTTTACCACGCAATCCAGCACCAATAATGGGGATGGATTAAGGAGCAAAATCACCAAACCTAAAGTCTTCCAAGTACAATAAATGGCGGTATAAGATTTTTGAAATTTTTACATAAAATTTGGAACCCTGGCGGAATTGTTAGATTAAATAATCCTAGAAGAGAAATAAATGATAACGTGACATAATTTAGGAAAATTCACTACTGTGTGTTAAGTGTGTTCGTTATTGTTCCCGCCAAGAACTTTCAACCTAACCAGATAGGGTATTTTCTACTTGTATTTTTCTCATCAATATGTTGCTACAATATATTCATACCTACTTGGATAATTAATTTAATATAATATTTGCGAAGTTGGATTGCCAGCAACAACCACCTTGATCAATACTTGATCTTCATTTAAATCTAATCATGAATCCTTTTCTGTACAAATATATTCCCGCTTATAAAAAAAGTAGTCAAAGAAATAAATTGTACACATCATTTCTCCCCTTTAATTCTAAAATCTAGCATAATTATCTTTTAAATGATTGAATCCCGCTTAAAATTGAATATTGAAAAACAACTTTGAAAATGGACTAAAGAAGTTTAAATATTTTTGAACTTTGTCTATTAAAATGTAAATAAGCAGTAAAATGCATCCTAAGATCTTCTTATTTTTATGGACAGAAAATGGAAAATTTTAAAGTCATATTAATTGAAATATTAAAATTTGGTTCCTTCCAATTACTAACTATCTCGGGGCAAAATTTAATTACCTTCATACATCCCGAAATTTTGCACCTGATTGTTTTCCTTGGATAAATTTAAAGTCTGCTCGATGTGGCCCACTATGTCCTTCAATTTCAAAATCTCCACCCGTTGCAGTTCAATGGTTTTGTTTTGTCGCGATATTATATCTTCTTTAGCGGCCACTTCGGCTTCTAGCTTAGCGAGTCGTTGCTTTGCTCGGATTCGGGTTTTCCGGGCGGCAATAGCGTTCTTGACAGCCTTTGTGTCAGGTATTAAGTCATATTTCTTTACCCGGGGCAAGGCTGGTGGGGCTGGTTCCTTTAATTTTGGTGGTCGACCCCTTTTCTTTTTTAATGGTTCTGATGAAATCTGATTATCGCCTTTGCCAGATCGTGATAAGGTCATACTACATTGCTTCACTTGTAATGATACAAGGGTACTAACTGGTTGAGCTGGTGGCGATAAAACAAAAGTGACTTGGTCAGCTGGACGTGGTAAAATAGGATTGACTTGGTCGGCTGGTGTTGATAAAGATGGCTCATCAGCTGGGCAACATAACTCGGCTGGGTTGATGAAGCCGATGCCTGGAAAGGACACGTCATCATCGGCCAAGGCGGCCGCATTGTCTTGCAACCACATCCCTAAAGGAGACAAGGTAAATTCCGAGTACGACCCGCCTACATCGTGAGGTTCGATGGGTATCGAGGGAAAAGCGCCTAGCAGATCGGAAAAATCCATTTCGTTTTCGCTCTCGAACGGGGAGAGCGAATTGAGATTATAATCTTCAGCCTGTTCAGATAAATGAGCAGGATCCATTTGATCTGTAAGAAAATTAATAGTTATTTTTTAAGGTGACAATGCCAATCCAAACGGTCGCTATAGCGACCGTATACGGTAGCGAAGTATGTATTACCTTAATTATTGGCAAAATAAATATATTAATTTACCAGTTCATTTTTCCACCGGTAAAATAAATAAGTTATAAATTGGTACTTCGTAATACTACTTTTGGTAATAATGTCGTATAAGCTAATGTTAATTTTGTGCCTAGGTGTTTAGCAATATAAATAATTACAATAAAATTTAATTACGCACCTAAAAATTGGTTCCGACACGTTGTACGGTCGCTTACCTGCAGTGGTATTAAACTTTCTGATGTTTTCTATAAACATTAAAAATATGCATGTACAATACTGTAATTTATGTGACATCATGAACGCAAATTAAAACGTTTGCTAATTGATACATAATTTTCAGTTACCGTTCCCCCAGAGGTTTTTTGGCTTAAAACCCATCCTGCAATTTACCCATCGCCTAACGAGAAAAATTAAGTTGTTATTCCATTGCCGAGTTTTTTACAACTGGGACTGACATTGGTGTGATTTTATCCAGGTGAGAACGTTAAAATTTAATTTTCAATGAGATCACGGGACAATGATGTTGCCATATTTAGTGCAAAATTATTAGCAATGTAACATCCACCCTGTAAAATATTACTGAGTCGGTGTAATCTGTAATCATCCAGGGATCATGATTTATTTGTGACTAAATTTTTAGCTCGACAAGTTCCAAGGTAAAAGTCCGACTAGGGTTTTGTCCTGTTAAATACATACATGTAACCATTACACAAATGTATGTATGCAATCTTGTCCAGTTGTGTTATCTCGCAATATTTCAATTTAAGTCGCTTATCCTTATCGGTGTCGCCCTGACATTGGTAATGACGAGGTGATCGATTAATCACAATTGCTACGGGGTGGGCAAAAAGATTTTATCCACAGGTTAATATTTTTTTTAAGTCATAAAAACAGAACGATCTGTGTAAATATGCGTAAATTTAAACTATTTGACTGTTTTTTTAGTACGGATTTTTCTTAACTCGTTTCAAAATTGAGTTTAATGGAAATTGCATCCCGAAAATTCAGCGCTTAGCAAATTTTATATGTAATTTACCACGAATAATTTGTAGAAAATTAAGATAAGTCTTATATTCTTCTCGTCATATACCACAAAAGAAGTAAATACATATATTCTCATCTTGATAACAGAGTAATGTGAGTTATTACTCACTCAGGTCCTAAATTAGTGAGTGAACAACTATTCATCTTATAAAATTAATAGTTGTTTTACATACTTCATTCATGGAGGCGGACTCTTCTTATGGAGTTGCTTATTATTTCACGTATTTCATCTCAGAGGGGGTCAACTTTAAATTTGAATTGATCCAGTATATTTCGAGCATTTACAATAGTAAGGTTTCTCCCCCCATGAATGCGACCAAAGGTAGAGACGGATTTTCCAGTCGAAGTGAGGATTTCCACAATGCACCCTCTTTTAATAGCCACACTGTATCAAATTAAGCCCAATTCCATCCAATCAATTGCGCAGAGCTTGTGCATACATACGTCAATGTTTCGTAATACATACAACACGAGATCTGGTGTCAGGTACACACATATTATGACTCATATCAGTGAGTCATAATGACTCACTGTGATCGATAAGTCAGCCATGATACTACAAGCTGAAGGCAGAGTGAAAGTATACTCTTAAAAATCTGGTATGAATCTCCACCGAACGGTGTGCCTTTGCAATTTCACCAAGTAG